GATAGATAGATAGATAGATAGATAGATAGATAGATAGATAGATAGATAGATAGATAGATAGATAGATAGATAGATAGATAGATAGATAGATAGATGTGGCCGTGGCCAAAACAGACTAAAGGGCCACATCTCTGTGACAAAACCATCAACACAACAAATGGTGAAGCCAGCCTGCCTGCAGTTTTTCTGACTTCATAGTGTAGAGGTTAACACATTCACCTAATAAGTGAAAGATCCCTGTTTGATCCAGCAGAAGATAGAAAGAGTCAAGGAGGGGCAATTGTTAAAAAAAAATCTATGAGGTTAAACACGCAGAGTTACCTGCTGTGGTGACTGTTTGTGAATAAGGGAGCAGCAGAAAGAAGCAGTACTTTATATGAGTCCTCAGTAATACTTGTACGTGGCTGCTATGTTGGCACAATCAAGTCAAAAGAGCACAAGATTGAAAAGTTGACTGATTTTCCTGCAGCATTATGCCAAGCAGAAAAAAGATTTTTGCTAGCTGAAGGACTCCAATATAGTTAATGGTCATAGCTTGGCCACCCTTGCAATAATCCTCTATGTCCGCCTGCATTCAGCAATTTCATTACTGCTCACGGCAAAAGTTGCAGAACAAATTTCTCTCAAATAAAAAAGTACTATACATTTATAACCATGACACATATTAAATATCTTTTAATGTCTTATTATAATGATATCAGTATTTGATCTTTGATCTTCCAGTAGTCACAGAAAGCAGTTTGCTGCTGATTATTACAATAATCCCAGATAGTGAGCAATTGAAGTAAGTAGAATGCATCAAAGAGCCAAGTAATTGGCAAGTAATTTGACATAATTAATAAATCCCAGTCTGAAGCTGATGCCTTTGCTTTCCCCAACTCTACAGCTAAGTGGATCACTGTGCGTGACTCCTTTAGTCAACAGTGAGGTCAGAGGCTGTAGGAAAGGTAACCTTGGCGCGTCCAAGGATGCACTAACTCAAGCTGTGATCGGACTCACGACGTCCTAATTCCGTTTATTTGAATGTTTAAATGCAGCCACTGAAACACAACGCCCAAGTTCCTTACAGGATAAAAATCCAAATCGCGATATTTCCTCGTTAATTCATCGCTCTTACACTAGCCTGAGATGGGTCGGGTGAAATGGTGTAAAGTGATTACCTCTTATCCAGACAAATCATCCACTCGGCAGATTCCGAGGAATGTGAAGAAGTGTGCGCTGCTACCATCTTGCGATCCTGCTGTTGCTGCTGCTGCTGCTAATGCGGAGGAGAGGGCTGGACCAACGACAGCAGCGCTTCATCTGCCTTCACTCACTCACTGCTGACAGTCCTCGCTGTCCCTGCTTACCTGGGCGGGAGCAGCGTGGACGAAAAACAGCCCACACTGACGGGTTTTATGCAGCTGTAGTGAAAAGCTATGTTGTTAAGAAAGAAAATCTCAAACTGAGGACGGCAACAGTTTTCAGCAGAGATGTGGCTGAGGGAAAACAGAGCTCGGTCACTCATTATTTTTTTCAGCAATGGAGGTCAGTTTCTGCTATTGCAATTTTTAGGCACATGCAGGTAAAATGAACGCAGTCTCATAGATCAGTATGTCCCAGTGTTCGTGTTAAGATCAAACTGTTGCTTGGAATTTTCCAGTCATTTCATTTTTAGAGCTGTTGAACTTACACCGAGAGCTGTAAATAGAAGCAGCTTTTGTTGCTTGAATGAGGTGAGTCAGCACAAAGTGGCACTTCTCTACTGAAGGATACTGTTGCAAAGGTGAGGTGGAGGGCATACAGGTGACCTGTGATTGGTCGTAATCACATTAATGTTCATAAGTATTTAGACAGTGATACAGCTTTTGTAGTTTTGCTTCTGTGAACCGCCACAGATGGTTTAAAATCAAACAATCGAGACGTGATTGAAGTGCAGACTTTCAGCTTTGATTTATTGGTTTTTACAGACCTTATTTTCTGAGTTCCACCATTTTCAGAAGATCAAAATTAGTTGGAAAATTGACTGAAAAGCAGCTCCATGGCTAGGTGAGACCTGTTGTTCATTTTTCCACTGGCATTTTCAATATGAGGTCCAAAGTGATGCAAAAATAAACCAACAGCAAACCACTTTAATTTTTTTATAAACAGAATGGAAGAACAGGTTGACTAAACAACAACAAAAGACCCGCAAGACCACAGAATAATTTGTGATGTGACAGCTGATAGAAGTAGCAGGATGAACTCTGAAGTGTACAGGGATATAAGCTCCACTCAGATTCAGGCAAATGCTGAAAAACTAACCAGACAGCTCTTCACAGTACAAATGGACAAAGAGCCAAAGTCGCAAAGGCAACCCAAGATTTCTCAGGGCAAAGAAATAGGATAGTCTTCGACGGCCAAGCCAGTCACCTGATCTAACCCAGTGGAGCATGCTGTTCAGACATTTAACACAAAACTGAATGGAGAGACACCCACAAACAAGCAGCATCCAAAGGTGGCTTTACAAAAGACCTAATGGAGCATCTCAAGGGAGGAAACAACATTTGGTGAAATCCATAGATTCTGGACTTCACGCAGTCATTGACTGGAAATGTTAGGACATGTATTTAAAACAATCCCTTATTTATTTAATATTTGTTTAATTTTGAGGGTCTGTCAATGGAGGTCTGTGCTTAGAAATAGCTACCACCTAAACAGTTTAAGTTAAATCCCTTTAATTTAAGCTGAAATTCTGCACTTAAATCACATTTTGATTGTCTGATTTAAACTCACTGTGATGGTGTAAAGATGCAAAATGGCAACAAAATCTTTTTTTTCTTATAGATTGTGGATCTGATCAATTACAGACTGCATACAGTCAAGTCCAAAACACTGAAGCAAACTATCTGAGTACACATGGCTGTTTTAACTGACTGCAGCACGCCTCTCATCCCTGTATAGTGGATGACATTTCCAACATATCAAAGTGGGAACATTTTCATAATAGCCATGAGAAAATTGGGCTTTGTTATGACAAGCCACATAATAAAAAGCCCATTGCTTTACTTCAGTTACCCTGGCAACAAAGTACCTCATAGAAAGAAAAACCAAGCCTCTGTAATTATTTTCTTTTCCATCATCTGATGCTCAGATACCTTGGTACCTAAGTTACAGGCTTATGTTTATTTATTTATTTATTTACTTAATTTTTACTGAACACAAGTCATCAGCACTAAAAGGCATAAAAGAATACTCTTCCTAAAAAAAGATTTTTGTCTCTAATCTCAAGTAAAGAAAGTTTCATCCACAAGTTGACTAAATCATAATAAAAGTAGGGCTTCTAAGTATAGTCCTGTTTCCATCATTTAACTAAATATTTAGTTAATGCCTTTCAGGGTGGGATTAACAGGAGGTAGTGAGGTTTGGATAGTTTGAGAGAAACACCAAACAAGAAGCAGTCCAAGAGGAAAACCCTCGACCAGAGCAGGAATAATATTGTACTTTCTATATATTCATTTTGTTTTACGTTAAGATGTTTGTAGTGCAGTAAAAATAAGTGCAAAGATTTACTTGGCCTTTTGAAATCTGTGACTACTGGAAGATTTAATATAACTGATATAATTTTGAGTACAATTACTTTTTTTTTTTTTTTTTTTTTTTTTACTTGAGTAGATACAGTAAATACCGAGCATTCATCTTCCCGTTTAGTAAAGTTCATTTATTAAAATTATGTTTAATAAATATCAAGTGATTTTTTTGTTATCACAAGTTAATTTTTTTCAATTAATAATTATTATTATTATTAAGAAATATTGTACATTTATTCATATTATTACATACTTAAATGGTTATAGCGTCTTATTGTAATACACACAACAAAGCCATAATAAAATGAATCAGCTTTTCTCCAAATGTATCCCATGCCAGCATGTTCTTGTCAGTCTGACAACTATTGTCATTTCAAATAACTCTATGTAGCATTATTATCACTTTGACCTTCAGATCATCTGTTGATGTTGAAGGAGAGGTCAGAGGTCAAATGTTAATTTTTGACCAACAAACCATTAAGTTGACCTTGGTGACCTTGGTGGGTGAAAGACAAATTTCAATTTTCAACAAAGTGTTAATATGACCCAACTCTACAAGATTTTTTTTTTTAATCAGAATTCATTCAAAACTCTTTTTTTTTACAGACAGCGTAATGACACGCTTGCAAACACTGCATAACCTTCTTTGTGGGGATAGCATTACATAAATAATAAGATAGTGATAAAAATGGAAGATCTTAAAGATAAAGGAAATGTTTCGAAACATCAGATCTGCACCCAACACCGGTTCCAAAGTGGTTCTCCTTCAGGAGAATTTCACCAAGCCAATATTTAAAATCCAGTTCCTTTACTGACAGCAAGATGGCAGCATTTGTTCTAAAAAACCACCTAAGAACAGATGAATCCGGGCACAAACCTATTCGATTCCTGGAGCCGAGAAAAGGGAAGTGCATTCAGTCTTGTTTTGATTTTAAAAATGTAGGCGTCTAACCAAAGGGAGCTGTGCCCTGCACCTGAAGGAAACTTTTAGGTGTTTCTCTGTCTGTTTCTGATCTTTCAGTGGACCTTAAATTAAGATTGCGTTGTCAGCCCACATGTTTTTCTTCCCAGTGAGCTGAACTTACATGTCTTGCCCTTTCTTGTTAAAATAAATAGCTGAGGTGTGAGGCTGAGTTCAGGCCAGGGCATGCATAACACAAAACACGCATTCCTGTAATGCTGCATACCACTAACTCACAGCAGCAATGGACCAACACATAACAATGTGCGAAGACGTCAACATGCGCTGCAGTAATTTGCCATGCACTGCAACTCTGCAAGCTATCAGTTCAAGACATAACAAAAAGATTTACGAAGGTAACGACTGAAAGGGTTTTCATTTCTTTCTGCTGCAAACAAATATTTGTTGTAAAAGAAAACAGAAAAGAGTAGTTCTGCAGAAAAACAGACAAGACACCAGGTGTGGAGTATTTCTTGTGCCTGCAAGAGTCTGAGACACTGTCTCAAAGGTTCCACTCTCAGCAGCTCACCTGCTCCTTTTTCCATTTGGTTTTCCCCGTGCATTCGATGGTGTTTGAAATGTTGCTATAGGGACCACTGGCTGCAATGTGCCATCGTATCCTGAGCCCACTGACTGTGTATGTGGCTTTTCAGGCCCACAGTTGCTAGGAGATGCTCCTGCAAGCTGAAAATGGTAAACACATGGACACATGCAACCCTTATGTGCACACACAGCATAATTTCAAAATGCTGATGAGCATTTGGAGAAATATTTGCTACTGCTGGTATATAACTCTTTTGAAATCGGTGCTTCACAAAAAAGTATCTTCAGGATTAAACGTGTTAAATTTCTTCTTGTCAGATAATAATTCTGAGCCATGATATATGTGTTTGCAGACCTAAATTACTGAATTACAATGCCACATTCAAAAGAAGTTGTGTTTAAAGCAATGTGCTCCATAATTTACACTGTTCCAGCACGAGTTTCAGCATTCCCATGGCGGTTAAATGTCACTGGATTTACATAAAACAAATGAGCACAGAACACCTTTGAAAGCCGTGCAGTATGGCGTAAACAAGCAAGAAGCTTGCATAAACTACATGGGAGCGGCTTTAAGGAGCTACATAAAACTTTATATATCAGATAACCACGTCTCAGATGGAATGCTAGGGCAGATAACTCCAGAGGAAATGCCTGAGGACTGGATCTTTTCCAGAGATGTCTCCATCAATGTTTTAAGGCGCAAATTTACAATGATGGGCTAAAACAGCCCAAAATGCTTTCTTATTTTATTTATAAATATACTCTGAGGAGAATTTAGTAATCGGGATCCTAAAGTAGTGATCTGTGATAGGAAAAAAATCAGAGTTGTTCATTTAATATTTCATAACCTATACAATTAAAAATGTAGATGGGATTATTCCTTAGGCAGCTGAATAAATAACACCATCTGCTCAAAGCTCTTGCTACTGTCTGGTTTCTCTTTATCAATAATTACTCATCTATTTGCATTTTGTTATATAACGCTCCTTGTAGTTGCATATACACTTACTACAGACTGTCTTCAACACATATAAATATTTCTTCAAATGTAACACTACACATGTTTAAAACATCCAAACAAATATCTGCTAAGCTAAAATCTATATACCATTATTAATTCAAAGGTGGACTCTGATTCGCCAGTTTGTAACAAAATATTCAAATATTCCGTTGATGTCTTCTCGCACTTGATCTGGCTTCTGTTTCCTAGGTCAGCTTGACTGGATGAT